AGATGAGAGTCCGCAGCGGTCCGCCGACACCGAACCGAACCTGAGGCGTCCGAGCGGGATGGAGGCAGAGCGGCTGCTGACGGACCCGAGCTCAGCTGCTGCTCCCCGGCCTTGAACGCGTCACGTCCGCCGCTGGAGCCGCGGAGCCCGGAGGAGCGGCGGGTGGAGCTGCAGTCTGCCGGGCCGAGCCGTGCTGAGCCGAGCCGTGCTGAGCCGAGCCGAGCCGTGCTGAGCCGAGCCGAGCTGCCGTCCTCTCCCGGCCTGATAACTATGCTGAGCTAGCTGCAGGACTGAAGACTCGATTGCACCCCCGAAACCACACCCGATCTCTCCTGTCTGCCTCTCAGGTGAGTGCTGCAGAACACCTGAGGTTCACCTGGTCCCGCGGGACGGATCAGCATGGATCTGGATCTGTCTCTAGGGTCCTGCTGTCAGTCCGGGACAGGGGTCCTGCTGACACCTGAGACCTGTCAGAGTCTGATCAACTAGCTCTGACTTCCGGTCAGTTTGGTCCAGGTGACAGCAGGGTCATCATGATACCAGTATTACCTGTTTGATACCACAGCTACACAAAGTCCCAGACCCCGGATGTTGAGTCATTTGTTGTTTTAAATGATCACACCGGCACACTTTCTGAAGTTTCCTGTGTTGTTTTAAATGTTTTCTACTTTTCCAAACTATCGATTATTAACGGATTTCGTTTTATCTGATTATCACCATCAGGGGTCTTAGACCCCCAAAAGGTCGATGAACCAGAAAACACACGACAGCATCTAAAGAGACGTTCAATAAAAATGTTAAAAAGAAAGATTGAAATAAGTTAAACTGCTGGTATATCTCTGCTGTGACCCCGCCTCCGATCAGTGATGTCACAGCTCTGTTGGCGTGCTGAGTCTTTGATCCGGTCTGGTTTCTGTGGTTTCAGCGACCCTGCAGCATGGAGCGCTCCGGCAGCATCCAGCTCGACATCCCGGACTTCAGTAACTCGGTTCTGTCCCACCTGAACCAGCTGCGCGTTCAGGGCCGGCTCTGCGACATCGTGGTCAACGTCCAGGGTCAGAGCTTCCGGGCCCACAAGGTGGTCCTCGCCGCCAGCTCGCCATACTTCCGGGACCACATGTCCCTGAGCCAGATGAGCACGGTGTCGCTGACCGTGATCCGCAACCCGTCGGTGTTTGAGCAGCTGCTGACCTTCTGCTACACGGGGCGCCTCTGCCTGCAGCTCGCTGACATCATCAGTTACCTGACCGCTGCCAGCTTCCTGCAGATGCAGCACATCATTGACCGCTGCACGCAGATCCTGGAGGGCATCCACCTGAAGATCAGCCTGGCCGACATGGAGGAGGAGCCCTCAGAAGATGCCATCCGGATCACCCGGGTCAACCGGACCCTGGAGGCAGTGGTGAGAGGCGGTGGTCATCACGCCACCCTGCGGCTCCTCGGTTCCCGGGGAGTGGCGGAGGCGTGCGAGGCGATCAGTCCCGTCGAGGAGCCGCTCAGCCCGCCGTCCACCGTGGAGAACAGTGGACTGGAAGGTCCTGAGGCCGCCGCCATCAGAGTGGGCAAAGAACCGATCCTTCGCATTAACCGGGCCGGTCAGTGGTACGTGGAGACGAGCAGCGAGCCGGAGCGCAGCGGCAGCGCAGAGGAGGGGGGCGGGGCAATGGAGCGCGTGAGAATCAAGACGGAGAGGATGGAGGACTGGATCGGAGCGGGAGAGCACCAAGAGGAGGGGGGGCCCGAAGAGGAGGGGGGCACCGTGATGATCGACACGTCAGGACGCAGCACGCTGGTGACGGGCCCGATGAGTGCTCTCGGGGCGCGGAGCGCTCAACCGTCCTCCAGCTTCAGCGAGACGGACAGGTGAGTCGACCAATCAGGCGCTGCAGGACGCCACCCTGCCTGGAGACAGTTTGTGTTCTCAACGTGTGTGTGTGTGTTCGTGTGTCAGGTTCAGTCCCACCGGCAGCGTTGTGGTCGTGGCGGAGCGTCAGAGAGCCAAGAGCGAGTCTCCCAGCAGGACGGACGAGCTGCGACAGCCGAGCTCCAAGGTACCAGCAGCACGCCTTCATCTCTGTTTCTGAATCAAACACACAAACGTCTCAGGATCAGGATCAGGATCAGAATCAGGATCAGAATCAGGATCAGGATCAGGATCAGAATCAGGATCAGGATCAGGATCAGGATCAGAATCAGAATCAGGATCAGGATCAGGATCAGGATCAGAATCAGAATCAGGATCAGGATCAGGATCAGGATCAGAATCAGGATCAGGATCAGGATCAGAATCAGAATCAGGATCAGGATCAGGATCAGAATCAGAATCAGGATCAGGATCAGGATCAGAATCAGAATCAGAATCAGGATCAGAATCAGAATCAGGATCAGGATCAGGATCAGAATCAGAATCAGGACCAGGATCAGGATCAGAATCTGGGTTTATTGCCAAGTACATTTACACATACAGAATCTGACTTGGTGTATTGGTGCTAAACAATTAACAAGGAAATAAAACAGAACTAACAACAACTTAAATAATACAGAATAAGAAGATATTACAAAATATAAAATATAATTTAAAAATGTCAAATATAAAAAATAAAAAACACAGAATGCACAAAAGGTGCGATGTAGGAGCTGTGCAGTGGACTATAAGGAAAAAAAACATCTTGATGCTGGTTCTGGCCGCCTCGCTCCTCGCCAGTAGCTCCTCTAAATGGTGTTGGTAAAGTGCGGTCGACCTCGAGCTCCTGAACCTGAAAAACCTCCTGATCTGATATTCACACTCCGAGAACACTCACAAAGAAAGTCCTTGAACTTCCTTGACTGATCCTTGAATCCTCGTAGTGAACTTTAAAAAAACATAAAATCTTGGATACTCTTACAGAAACCTCGGCGGTTAGCCTAAAAAGATTTGCCCCCATGTTAACGCAAATCAAAGCAAAAAAATGTCCAATCAGGGAGATGGATTTTATTAATGCAACATCATCTCCACTTTGCAAATCAAGCTAACGAGCGCTTGATTACAGCGCCATTCGTACTCGGGGAAGAAAGTTTCACATCTGAACTGTAATGAGACGATTGCATTAAAAGTATTCAGTCTATCAGCTCAGTTTGATCCAGCAGAGGGCGCTCTCAGGGTAACTTGACCATTGCATGACCTCTTGACCTCTTGACCTCAGTAAATGAAGACAGTGATGTTGTGGCACGCAGACTCGTCTCTCTGCAGGCAGCAGCTCTCTGATTGGTGGAGAGACACAGGGTCTCTACAAACCTGAAACTCTCCAAGCTGGCTCGCTCTGTGTACGAGGAACGTGTGCGCGCTCTGAACGGCGTTCTCGTCAGCAGGTCATAATGTAAACATAAAGGAGAGCTGCAGTCGATCCTGACGTGTTTCTGTTGAAGTCGTCACTTTTGGATCGTCAACAAGCTGTTTGTTGGTTTTAGGTTCATTACTGATCCGGTAAAATGAAATGATAGTGTTTTGTGTTTGCGGCGGTGGCGTGCACGAGGAGCGTGTTGGAACATTAGCGCGTCATGTTCTAAATTAATAAAGTGTTTTTTTTATTGAAAAAGTGACAGCCCTACTGAGACTCTTTACACTCCGTGACCCGTGACCCCTGAACAACTCTTATGAACTCCTCAGTTTGTCTTAACATTTCCTCGGTGACCCCCAAAACATCTTTAATGCCTCGGTCGACCATCAAATCTCCACCGTGACTTCTAGAATATCTGAACTATCTAAGCGATGCCTTTTCATTTCAGAACCTCCTTATTTGCCAGGGGACTCCATGGGTCTCCCTAGAACCTCTTAAATTCCCCAAAGATTCTCCCAAGGGATCCCTAAAACCTGCAGGCTCCAAAGACTTCTTGATCCTCCTCAGAATCAACCAGTGGCCCCATAAAGGAATACTTTGTTAATTACCCCTAGACTCCCCTAAAGCACCACCAGAACCTCCTTAGTGGGCAGTTACCCTAACCCCCCTGATCCAGGACTCATTAGAACCCAAACAGATCCCTAGAGCCTGTGATCCTCCCAAACAACAACTGCAATGTTTTAAAGATAAAACTTTCACTACTGCAGCTAAGCGATGATCCCTGCCGAACCCTAACCCTTTTACCACAAACCTTTCATAAATTTTGAGTTCTTGTTTTTAAAGATTTACAAAGACACATAGAACCTCTTAACGGCCTTGAATTAGAAACATTTCAAGCAGCTCTCTAAGTATGGCCGTTAGACCCCTCTGAACAATGTCAGTAAGAGCAAACGATCCGCTTTGAGTCTGATTGGACACACAGGTGCTGACAGGAAGTGACCAGAGGCAAAGCACAACATTGAGGGCAGTTCTTGAGAGCTCTAATCAGTATAGAAACCATCTTATAAGTCATCGTTATCAAACAAAAACCATCGTCATTACCATCATCATCATCAATAATATGGAGACCATCATCATTAAGTTAGTAGGTATTCATGAAAGAGCTGGCTCTTTAGCTTTTTCTTAAAGGTGCAGAGGGACTGCAGATCGACTCTGTAGTTTAGTCCTCTATCTAAGCCACCAGCGGTGAGTCTTGGGCCCAAAGTTCATCCAGAGGTTTGAGATTCAGTGTGTTGCAGTTTGTTCTATCTCGTCTCGATTAACTGTTTGCTCTGCTTGTCAGGGGGAGGAGCACGCTGCGTTTGACATGGGGGGTTATGAGGACTACCTGAGGGAGCAGGTAGGAGACCGCTGGTTCCGTTACAACCCCAGGCTCACCTGCATCTACTGCTGCAAGTCCTTCAACCAGAAAGGAAGCCTGGACCGCCACATGCGCCTGCACATGGGCATCACGCCGTTCGTCTGCCGCATCTGCGGGAAGAAGTACACCCGCAAAGACCAGCTGGAGTACCACATCCGCAAGCACACCGGCAACAAGCCCTTCCACTGCCACGTCTGCGGCAAGAGCTTCCCCTTCCAGGCCATCCTCAACCAGCACTTCCGCAAGAACCATCCAGGCTGCGCCCCCCAGGAGGCCCACAGCGCCTCACCTGAGACCACCACCACCTCCATCACATCCAGGGGGGGCCCGAGCGATGAGGCCTCCCCCAGCCAGGAGGATCCTGAGGGCGGGGGTGGTGGGAGCAGCAGCGGTGGGGGCCAGTACAGTGAGGGTCCTCAGGCCTCCGTCTCCACCACGGGGCCCGACTGACCCCAAGGGTAGCAGCAGGGTGGGTTTCAGATGGGGGGTGGGGTGGTGGGGGGTGACCCTGATGTTCCTGAACCATCAGGAAAATGAACCTAACGACCGAACGAACACCTCAGTCCGAACTGAGATTTTTTTCCGCTTTAAACCGCATCTACCTTCACAAACCAAACGGAACCGATTAAGCTAAAAAATTAAGAAACGCCACACACTCCAACAACCTCATACGCCACACAGTGGTCCTTGTTTGCCTCCGTCGATGTTATGTTACAGATTTCTACTTTTATATTACAGCTTCTTATGACTACAGGTTATTATTCACAATGCAGCATCACAACAGTCTGTCTGGTGGAAACTTGCCAAACTACTCAGTGCCAGTTTAACACTTCAATCCTTTATTTTTGCCTTGAGACAATCTGGAGCGGCGAGGGTCAGCTGATAATCCTGCGCTCTCAAAGTGCCACACGGCATGACGAGATTTAGATGCACAAAAAGGTTCAAATGAGAAAAACACGACTGTTAAAGAACGTGTTCCAGTGTGATCGCAGTTTCTCAACTTTAGTGCCGTTAAGGAGGAACAGACTGACTGTTTCTGTTTCATTTCAAAGTGGACGCAGGTCTCGCACTACACCGTGTCACTCTACTCTAAGTCCTCAACTTGTACCAGCGGCCCAATCAGACGCTCACATTTCCCTTTAGGGCTGACACTAACTGCTCCGAGTATCTTTGATTACTCAGCTGGTAACCTTTCTCCCTCTTGATAAGCAGATTAATCGTTTGTTCTGAAAATCTTGACAAACTTTAGAGCCCGCTGTGACTCATTTAGTCCCAGTGAGAGAGAGAGCCGCTGTTGAAGTTTAAATTTGTGCCAAATCGTTTCAGGTCACGGATCGAAGCTATGGAGGAAGTCGACCCCAGGCACTCATTGACTAAAGTGGCGGTGAAGGGCGGTGTAGTGCGCAGCAGCGTGCGTGAAGTGCGTGGAAATTCAGGGTTAGACATTCTCCAGCAAACACGACTTGTCCAGGTGGAATCAGGCGACCCTGCTGTCACGATACCAGAACTGTAAACTGTAAAGATATCCAAACGTGTTTGACACCACAGGGAAAAAAAATAGAAGCTAATATTGTTGTTTTAACCCCCCCCCCCCCCTTAACCGGCCCTGAAGAAGAAGCTCATTGGTTGCTTTTGAAAGCTCGGGGTGTAAACAGATAAACGTTCGCCTCCATCACATCCATGAAGTAACAGCAGGCGGAATCTGTGATCACACTGGATTAGCGGCGTTAGCGTGAATTCTTTAACGTTGTTTTTTTTTCCTCACCTTTGAACCTCGGGTAGATTAAAGGAACCATCGGGCAGCCTGTTGACCGACTCACAGCAGGAAACCTGGACCGAGTCCGAGTCCAGCCTCAGATAAGCTACACAGTTACCTCTCATCACTACGCAATACAGCTGCTGCACCGCACAGCACAGCACCACCGGGGGGCGCTCTGACCGACTCACACAGAGAACCCCATCAGTCTTCTCAGATATTTTTATAGACAAGCATGTGTTTGTTTTGTTTTTGTTTTCTTGGACACTTTTTTGCTCTGACAATGTGTGTGACGGATGACAGGAGTTACACGTTAGAGGAGACGGCGTCGACCTGATCCACAACGTCTCGCTCACCTTGAAGTCTGCAGCCAGAACAAAAAACTGAAGCTACACAGATTTAAAAGCTTTTATTTTAACCACAGATGATCGAAGAACATAGAAAGGTAACTGCAAAGTGTCTCACAGGTGCAGACTCACAGGTGCGGTCTCACAGGTGCAGACTCACAGGTGCGGTCTCACAGGTGCAGACTCACAGGTGCGGTCTCACAGGTGCAGACTCACAGGTGCGGTCTCACAGGTGCAGACTCACAGGTGCGGACTCACAGGTGCGGTCTCACAGGTGCGGACTCACAGGTGCAGACTCACAGGTGCGGACTCACAGGTGCAGACTCACAAGTGCGGTCTCACAGGTGCAGACTCACAGGTGCAGACTCACAGGTGCAGACTCACAGGTGCAGGTCTCACAGGTGCGGACTCACAAGTGCGGTCTCACAGGTGCGGACTCACAGGTGCGGACTCACAGGTGCGGACTCACAGGTGCGGACTCACAGGTGCAGTCTCACAGGTGCAGTGGCGTTGATGCATCATGACAGCAGATGTTGTGATCAGGTTGACGTCGATCAGCAGGGACAGGATGAGGAGCTGGACCCTGTCCGACCAGATGGATGTAGAAACCAGGCCAGGTGGACTTAAAAACCCCTCCTGAGAGGGTCAAAGTTCACCTGCTGGAGGAGGAAGGGGGGAGCAGGTGAGCTCACCTGGCAACCAAAGGAAAGACAACAACTTCAGCACTTATCGAGGGGAGCGAGAGAGACGGGTTCAAAGTGAACTTTTTATAAACAGAACTATTATTAATCTTCACGTATTATCAGACAAACATATTTAAACTACTAAGACGTTTTTTTTTCACAATGATGTAAGCGAGCTCAGTCCAGGTGTACGCTCGGCGGGCAGGTAGCACACAGATTGGCTGTTACTGTTTCTCTACACAGCTGTGAATCCGACTCTCAGAGGACGTTTCATTTTTTATGCAAACTGAACTCAGCGGCTCTGTCCTCACTCCGGCTGGATGGACTCGAGTTTTGCCGCCGCCGTCGCCTCACTCTTCAGGCTAAAACAGGAACTATCAGGTATACAGACTTTCTTTATTCAGTGAATCAGACGTTTACCTTTCCCTACGTAGCAGAACGCTAACGGCTAAACCTCAGTGCAGCTACAGGCCGCAGAAACAAAACTCACCTGTAAATAAACTCGGCAGAAGCAGGTTAGAAACTCCTGCGAGTCTCTGCAGAGGGCGACAAAAACACACAAATCTGAGTTGGAAAGCGTGGAACTAAAATCAGTGATGACAACGACGAGAGTCTGGGCAGGTTTACTGGTTATCGTCACGTCTTTCCTGACCTTCAGGACGTGTTGACAGTTAACGACACAAACGTCGAACCCCTACAGAACGAGCAGGAAACACTTATGCTAAGCTAACAATGTTTTTCACTTATTCAGGCTAATGTTAAAAACATCGGGTCGATTGTTCTGGATAAAAACTTTCAGATGATTGAATCTTTTAAGTCGATGAGGTTGAACTTTGCATGAGGAGAAACTTGCTCGGCTCGGACTCGAACAGTCGAGACTTGAGGAGCAGACGGACTGAACTCAGTGCAGCAGAGACCGGAACAGACGAGTCCTTCGTTCAAGGAAAAACACGATTTCTCTTCTCTTTTATAAAATGAATCAAGAAGTCATGAACTTCGAACACAAGCATTTTCAAACGTAAACGGGTCGGCCGCTCTCTGCACTGAAACGTCTTCTTCCATTAACTCGTCATTTCAAACCAGTTTTACGTCAGTCTGATCCATGAAGGAGGAGAAGTCTGAGCAGAGTGAACGAAAACATAACTCGAGTTTAAATCAAGGAAAGTTTATTTCTGTCGCACATATCAGGAAGGAGGCGCCACAACACGAAAAGAGACCAATCACAGAGGAAAATAAAAATGCAGGGGCGTGTCCAGAGGGCCACACTAGAAATCTGATTGGCCACTCCAAAAATCCTAAACTGTGATAGGCTATTAGCCGTGTCAAAGGCGGGACTTCCTGAGGATTCAGGCTCACAGTTTGCCCCGTCAGTGTCGAGTAACAGCCCTATGGCGCCCGGGAAACCCCACGCAGAGGCGCCGTGTCACAATGCCAGTTTTTGAAATTGATAGAAACACTCTGCGGCTGAATCACGCCAACAGAGCAGAGCTCAGTTTAAACACTCATGTTGACCTCTGACCTCTGACCAGAGTCGTTAAAATAGAACGGAGTCGGAAGATATCGATGCCTGTTTGATACACAAACAAACTCCTGCACACCGTCCTGGCTGCACAAGTACGTCCGTGATGCATTCGTACGAAATGTTACCGACGTATATGTGCAGTAGATTAAAGATCAAAGGTTAATCGTGGTATCAAACAGAACGGTCGACTCTGAACTTGACTGATCTCTGACTTTTCCTCTTTGATGGATCTTCAGTTTTATTTCAAACTGTGAAAACATCCCAACCTCATCTTCCTCGCCTGTGCTCTTCATCGTCTTGGAGTCGCAGCGACTCGTTTGTTTCACGCCAAACGTTGTTTCGTTCAGTCCGATCCTTTTTCTGTGTGAATATATTCAGTGAGCGCGACCACGACGAGCCTATCGACGAATCATTGGGATCTCTCCACGTTACGAGATCGCTCGTTACTGTTCTTAAAGTATATCCTAATATATCGAAACAAGACGACTTACGTCAAGTTAACTTTTATTACTGTACATTTTTTACAGAGGAGGTACTGAACGCTCTGTAGAGGATTTATGTGAAGATCTTTATGTTGCATGTCTCTGTTGGGGGATGGGGGGGGTCAAAGGTTAATTATTAGTTAATAAAAATGTGAAGACGCTTCTTTCACCATGACCACTAGATCACTCACAGGATGCATCTCCTTTAAAGGAAATAAAGCACTTTAAGTGTCAAACAGCAGCGACTCACCTCTCTTTATTCTCCGACCCACAATGCACCTGTCCTGCATGCACAGGTCAGGTGATCAGGTTCAAAGCCATGAACTGTAAACACGCTGTAAACATGTTAATCTCTGCAGTAAAAACAGTGTTTTTAGAATGGGTGTGTATGTGACTTCCTGTGCTTCTGCAGCCAGCCTCTAGTGGACACTCCAGGAACTGCAGGATGTTACACTTCAGCTTCATGTTTCAACAGAGGAGGTGCTTACTGCTTGGCGCAGACTGACAGAGGTTCCTTTGGCCGTTACTCTGGGGCCCCCTACTGGTCTAGCCCCTAAACAGTTCCCTGCCTTAAAGAGGACATATCATCCCCCTCCTCCACCTTTTCAAACAGCCAGAATCCCACTGTGACATCACAAGGAGAGCACATTTGAAACAGAGCTTCTCTGTGTTGTAAGACTTATGCAGACTACAAACAAAGGACTGGATGGGTTTATTTCAAATGTTGTGGGTCAGTAGACTCTCAGGTTACCTAGATATATGTTCAGAAACACTGAAGAAGTTTTTATAATATGTCCCCTTTAAGATAAGATAATCCTTTATTCATCCCACAACGGGGAAGCCTAAGTGTGCAATTCAGACTGTGTAGGACATTGTCTAGATTTTTGTTCAATAGAAAGAAGAAATGATCCGATATTAGGTGTCCAAGACTTTTAGATTTGTTGCCGTGGTAACAAACAGGTACCGGTAACGTTTAATATTTAGAAGGATTTTAAAACCCTTGATGTAAATCAGGATATAGTATCAGGATGAGGCTGATTGGATTAAAAGACCAAATCAAAGCAAACAGTTATGATAGTTTGTACGTTTCAGCTAAGAAACAACAACAACACAGAGACCGGGTCGCCTAAATAATCTGAAAGTTTCATGTGTTTTTATTGAAACTGATGTGTGAAGCTGCGGGACGTGTCGTCAGCGTCACTAATAAAATGAAAAACGAAAAAAACTAAAATAATAAAAAGTTGTGATATCAGCTTCACAAAGTGCACAGGGCTGTAACAAAGAGAGATTTTTATTTTTGAAGTATGTATGCGGTGTTGAAGCGTGAGGAGCAGCGGAGCGTTTTTATTCGCTGCAGGGGTCGGCCACACGCGCCGTGAACAGCAGAGCGTTGATGGTCGACTCTCTGATGAGCAGCAGGAACGGACGGTCGGCCATGAACATCTCCCGGTTTAAGTTCAGGGAGCGCCCGATTGCCACCACAGCCGTGGCCGCTGCCGCCTCGCTGCCCTCCTCTTTCACCTGCAGACCAAAAGATAGGTTCAGTCAGAAAGACGCTCAGTTGTGCACAGATCGACAACACCTGACCTCCTCAAAAGCAGCTGACAGTGATGTCATAGTTTGTAACTGACCTCCAGGAAGGCTTTATGGAAAGCGTCTGAGATATGGAGACCTTCACCGCCTTCCTCCAACATCCCTGAAACACACAGAAACTGTTTTCACATCTGCTGAAAATCTTGAGATATTCTCCTGATCTGTTCACACATGCTCCTCACAGCTGGAGACTATCCCTGTCAGACAGGAGGTGGGGCGGGGGGGGGAGGGGTCTCCTGAGGTAAGACGTGACGTTCAATGAACGTTGTGGAAGTGTTGAACGAAGCAGCAGAGTCCTCCATATGACTCTATGATGATAATATGTGTGTTTGTATCAATGAATCTTGTGAACTAAAGAGAGGAGAAGAACATCCTGGAGAACAGGAAACATGCAGCAGCAGGTTGATTAGAGCACGGAGATGGTAGAGGTGGCGTGCAGACGGTCTATGGTCGTGCAGCGATCACAGGGAGTAAAGGTCACCACCCCCTGCCACTCGCTCCAGGTGAAGACCCCTCACCTGGCAGGCTGGCCTTCTCAGAGCTGAACAGGTCGGTCAGTCCCATCGCCTCCAGCTTCTCCTTCAGACTGAAGCTGTCCTCCACCCTGAAGCGAGGGACGTGGACAGCGACAATGACTTCACTCAGTCCATCCATCCAGCCTGTGAGTTTCTTCAGGTCCAGGCCCTCCTCCACCTACACACACACACACACACACACACACACACACACACACACTTTAACAGGAAACACCTGAATCCACGTTCTCTCCAGAGGAGTACCACAAGGCTCTATGTTAGGCCCACTGCTTTACCTTAAAACTACTTTAACATTACCTCTTTGTTTACATTTAAATCTTGTCTGCATGAAAACTGTCTTTTTATACGTCACTGGAATGCTGATGTGCTATGTGTCCACCTAGCGGTTTTTCCAGACAGAAAGGCGCAGTTTGAGCGTCGAGAAGTCCGTCCTGTCTCCATGACAACTGTCTGTTGAACGTGGTCGCTGTATGACCAACACTGCTCCGTTACTTTTTACTGCATGTTTTATATTTGAGATCGTTTATTGCCCGATCAGACACAGAGCGAGGACGATGTGGGTACATGACACAATCTGTAGGAGACAAAACTAGTACGGGGAATATTACACATTAGGAAAAGAGCGATGGAGACGTCAACAGCGCCTTTCTGAAAAGATAAAATGCACATTTTCACCGGACATCCGTCTGTAGCTGTGAATGCTCTCTACTCATTGAAAACAATTTTCTTTTTAAATGCTGCCGCTCAGAAAAACACGCTAGGTTGACACTGGGCCTAAATCTGTAATCTACAAACTGTCTAACTCGCAGTCAGGGTGAGCAAATTAAATTGATTCAGTTTTGATTTGAGGCGTTCTGTAACGACGGCCAGAAGGAAGGAGATCACACTTAACAAAGAAGAGTTCAAAGATGACATGCTAACTATAGTTATTGATGATTTTAATCGGCACATAAACAGGTGTGAAGACGTGAGGATTACTTGACTGAGCGGGGTGCCTCTGGTTGGCAGGACGATCACCATGGTGATGTCGTCACCGAGGTACGGCATCTCCAGCACCTGCACCTGGTCGTCAGGGAAGTACTTGTACCTGAACTTGTTCTCCTGGTACATCAGGTTGATCGAGCAGGTGCGACTCTCACTGACGTGGAAGTCTGAGGCGTACACCAAGTCTTTGTTGAACTTGTTCTTCCACTGACCCTGAGAGAGCAGAAACACGTCAGATACACGTCAGATACACCACAGATACATGCCAGAAACATGCCAGAAACACGCCAGATACACCACGGATACATGCCAGAAACACGCCAGATACACGTCAGATACATGCCAGATACACCACAGATACATGCCAGAAACACGCCAGATACACCACAGATACATGCCAGAAACACGCCAGATACATGTCGGATACACCACAGATACATGCCAGAAACACGCCAGATACACCACGGATACATGCCAGAAACACGCCAGATACACCACAGATACATGCCAGATACACATCAGATACACGTCAGATACACCACAGATACATGCCAGAAACACGTCAGATACATGCCAGATACACGTCAGATACACCACAGATACATGCCAGATACACGTCAGATACATGCCAGATATACGCCAGATACACCACAGATACATGCCAGATATACGCCAGATACACCACAGATACATGCCAGATACACGTCAGATACACCACAGATACATGCCAGAAACACGACAGATACACGTCAGATACACGTCAGAAACACGCCAGATACACGTCAGAAACACGTCAGATACATGTCAGATACGCGTCAGAAACACGCCAGATACACGCCAGATACACGTCAGAAACACGTCAGATACACGTCAGAAACACGCCAGATACACGTCAGAAACACGTCAGATACATGTCAGATACGCGTCAGATACACGTCAGAAACACGCCAGATACACGTCAGATACACCACAGATACATGTCAGAAACACGTCAGAAACACGTCAGATACGTGTCAGATACACGTCAGAAACACGCCAGATACACGTCAGATACACCACAGATACACGCCAGAAACACGACAGATACACGTCAGAAACACGCCAGATACACGTCAGAAACACGTCAGATACACGTCAGATACACGTCAGATACACGTCAGATACGCGTCAGAAACACGCCAGATACACGTCAGATACACGCCAGAAACACGTCAGATACGCGTCAGATACACGTCAGATACACGTCAGAAACACGCCAGATACACGTCAGATACACCACAGATACATGTCAGAAACACGTCAGAAACACGTCAGATACGCGTCAGATACACGTCAGAAACGCGTCAGAAACACGCCAGATACACGTCAGAAACACACCAGATGGACTGGTTGTCATGCACCCCTGCTGAGAGTTATTCAATGGAAAATGTTTCCCTCTATGCTGATGATATCCTGCTTTAGATTTCTTTTGCTTTGTCACATGTTCCAGGATCAGTTCAGATTACTTCCAGGCTTTAAATTAAACTACTTCTTCAGTCTTCAGTCTAGATTACTTCTTTGTAAAAGTTTCCAACAAGGGTCACACATTATCAGAAATCCACTTCTCCATGTTCCTCTAACTCTAACGTGTCTCTAGTCCGTCTACAAACCCCCCAATGATGAGAAAAGTCCATCCTTTCCGTCTTCTGCCTGCTCCACTTTTCAGAAAATGTGTGCTCAAACAGGCCGTTTGGAGATGTTCCCTTCATGACATCACAAAGGGCAGTAGCCCCTCCCCCAGGTGGGTGACACTCCCACAGCTAGGTGTTTGTTCTGCCCTCTGAATCTGCCTTCTCACCGTAAACAATAGGACATGGAGCGAGAAAGACAGAGTACACCCAAGCCCTTCCAGAGAGGGGGCGTGGTCAGACACAGCTCATTTACATATTTAAAGATACAGACACAGAAACAGCCTGTTCTGAGCAGGGCTGAAATAGAGGGGTTTATAGACATGATCAAATACCTGGACAATGTAGCATCACCTGACTCCTGGACTTCAGGTGTGTGTGTGTGTGTGTGTGTTCGGTACCTTGAAGTAGATGGTGTTGACGAGGACCAGGATGGTGTTGGAGTCCAGCGCCCCATGTGGCAGTGTGTCCTGAATCAGGTTCTCCGTCTTGTTAGAGATCCAGTCGTTGATGGTTTTCCGAGCCTTATCCGGGTTCTCCTGCAGAACAGAACCACGATGCTTATAGTCAAAGCTGAGCCCTGATTGGTCCATTGTGGACAGGTGTCAGGTTACCTTGAAGTTGAGGGGCAGCAGCTTGGCTCCGTAAACCATCTCGCTGATGTTCTGGTACGTCTCGTTGAAGATCAGAGATTTGTCTCCGAACAGGCGGTTGGCGGAGACGAGCTCGGTGGCGTCGCCCTTCTTCCTGTACAGACGACAGTTGAGTTTGGCGAAGAAGAAGTGCACCTGATCGGACGTCTTCTCTTTGATGGTGTCGAACTCAAACACCTGCAGAAACAGATGGTCAGTGAGGGGAGTCTACAGCAGGTTCTGTCTGCACGTTCTCTCATACCTTCATGATCTGCTGCAGCGTCCTGTTGCACGCGCCCAGTTTGGTCATGGCGAACGCTGTGGAGATGCTGATTGGAGACATGAAGATGTTGGCGTCCGGCGTCCTGCTTAGGGACAGCTGTTTGTACAGTGACAGGGCGAAGCGACCGATGGCCTTGGACAGCTCCCACACTCGGGGGTTGGTGGACTCGGGGACCTGCTCCGGCTGGTCGGTCGGGTCCTCAGGGGACTCGAGGTCGGGGCTGCGGTAGATGCAGCGTGGCTCCAGAGGGAGGTCTCTCGGTTTGGCGCCGCAGATGTCGGCATCTACGGCGAGGGCAAGGAGGGCAAGGGACGCCAGAACCAACAGCCAATCAGCAGCCCTCATTCTGAGAGCCAATCAGAGGAGAGCAATCAAACTAGTTCCAGGAAGAGTTAAACCGTTTGATCTCGAATCACAAAAACTGATTAAAAAATGTTTTTAAACTAGACGATCAAATATTTAAAAGTGAACCACAAAGTTTAAAACGGTGATATTTATTTACTGCAGTTCCTCGAGTGTCCACTTTAGCCCGTTTTTATCAACATGTTTACAGAACTGGACGAGGTGGTCTAAAAAAGTCGATTTCTACGGAGGCCCTGAAGGGTCAAATGTAAAGAGTAGCTTTACAGATCTACAGTTTGTGATAAAAACCATGGAGCCAAAAACACAAAATATAAACAGAAAGTGAAGAAGCAATGCAGTGACTCCCACACACACACGAAAACACCACAACACACACATGGAAACAACACACACACACCAAAACAAAACAACACACAACACACCAAAAGAACACACACACATGCAGTAACTCCCACACACACACACACCAAAACAACACAACACAACACACAACACACCAAAAGAACACACACACATGCAGTAACTCCCACACACACACCAATACAACACAACACACCAAAAGAACACACACACATGCAGTAACTCCACACAGACACCCAAACAACACAACACAACACACACACCAAAACAACACAACACACCACACACACAAACAAAACAACACACAACACACCAAAAGAACACACACACATGCAGTAACTCCCACACACACACACCAAAACAACACAACACACACCAAAACAACACACAACACACCAAAAGAAACACACACACATGCAGTGACTCCCACACACACAGTGACCCACACATACTCCGTCAGCTCTCCGTCTGCGCTGCGAAGCGTTCGTTTGGTCTCATTAAACCTGAAACGATCATTTGATAATATTTACACCTCAACGGGTCAAATGATTAAAACCTCACGCAGACGACCAGTTGGTGAACCTGTCTAACACATCCAGAGCTCACCTGAAGGAGGAAGCAGTGAGATGTTACCTGAAGCAGGTCGAGAAAATTCAGACGGCGTTCTTCAGTTTGAGCTGAAGTCAGGTCAGTGTCCTGCAGAGCACTGAAACGTCACAGCGACCTTTGAGACATTGATCGTCTGTCCAGTCAACAGCTCGCAGCGCCAGCAAAAGAACACACACACACATGCAGTGACCACACATACTCCGTCAGCTCTCCGTCTGCGCTGCGAAGCGTTCGTTTGGTCTCATTAAACCTGAAACGATCATTTGATAATATTTACACCTCAACGGGTCAAATGATTAAAACCTCACGCAGACGACCAGTTGGTGAACCTGTCTAACACATCCAGAGCTCACCTGAAGGAGGAAGCAGTGAGATGTTACCTGAGCAGGTCGAGAAAATTCAGACGGCGTTCTTCAGTTTGAGCTGAAGTCAGGTCAGTGTCCTGCAGAGCACTGAAACGTCACAGCGACCTTTGAGACATTGATCGTCTGTCAGTCAACAGCTCGCAGCGCCAGGAACATCTGATCAATAACACAGTGCAGGACACTCAGCTGACCAGCAGGGGGCGGGGCAACACGAGGAAACAACACACTCAGCTGACCAGCAGGGGGCGGGGCAACACGAGGAAACAACACACTCAGCTGACCAGCAGGGGGCGGGGCAACACGAGGAAACAACACACTGAGGACATGACGACTTCAGGGTTTAAGTTTCATGAAATTTATTGTTCAATCATAAATATTAAAAAATATGTGCAAAAAAAACATTTAAAACAGGAAGTGACAAAAACAGCAAACGCTGGTCTCTGCTGTCAGACTAAAGGTCCTGGTGTTCTGGTCTCTGCTGTCAGACTAAAGGTCCTGGTGTTCTGGTCTCTGCTGTCAGACTAAAGGTCCTGGTGTTCTGGTCTCTGCTGTCAGACTAAAGGTCCTGGTGTTCTGGTCTCTGCTGTCAGACTAAAGGTCCTGGTGTTCTGGTCTCTGCTGTCAGACTAAAGGTCCTGGTGTTCTGGTCTCTGCTGTCAGACTAAAGGTCCTGGTGTTCTGGTCTCTGCTGTCAGACTAAAGGTCCTGGTGTTCTGGTCTCTGCTGTCAGACTAAAGGTCCTGGTGTTCTGGTCTCTGCTGTCAGACTAAAGGTCCTGGTGTTCTGGTCTCTGCTGTCAGACTAAAGGTCCTGGTGTTCTGGTCTCTGCTGTCAGACTAAAGGTCCTGGTGTTCTGGTCTCTGCTGTCAGACTAAAGGTCCTGGTGTTCTGGTCTCTGCTGTCAGACTAAAGGTCCTGGTGTTCTGGTCTCTGCTGTCAGACTAAAGGTCCTGGTGTTCTGGTCTCTGCTGTCAGACTAAAGGTCTTGGTGTTCTGGTCTCTGCTGTCAGACTAAAGGTCCTGGTGTTCTGGTCTCTGCTGTCAGACTAAAGGTCCTGGTGTTCTGGTCTCTGCTGTCAGACTAAAGGTCCTGGTGTTCTGGTCTCTGCTGTCAGACTAAAGGTCCTGGTGTTCTGGTCTCTGCTGTCAGACTAAAGGTCCTGGTGTTCTGGTCTCTGCTGTCAGACTAAAGGTCTTGGTGTTCTGGTCTCTGCTGTCAGACTAAAGGTCCTGGTGTTCTGGTCTCTGCTGTCAGACTAAAGGTCTTGGTGTTCTGGTCTCTGCTGTCAGACTAAAGGTCCTGGTTTTCATGGAGTCCAAACTGAGTCCGTTCATTCACAACGGAGTCCAGCTTATATCTGACAGTCTGCAGGATCGGTCACACCCCTGGTCTCCTGCTGGTCTCCTGCTGGTCTCCTGCTGGTCTCCTGCTGGTCTCAGCAGGTTCTGGACTACACCAGATTGTCTAAAAAACTAAAGTTTCTATAAAAGTCTCAGCAGGTTCTGGTCCTATGAGAATCTGGTTTTTGGGGTCAGAAGAGTTTGGGTAGCTGTCTCAGACGGCTCAGGTCCAGGATGTTCCCCACTGATCCTTCTGTCTGACGGCTGCTCGCCCTCACTAAAGATGGCCGCCCGCTGGAACAGTTCTCCTTGTCGCTGGTTAGCGGTTTGGAGCTGCTAGCTAACAGCTGCATTTTGGGCCTCAGGTCTCTGATCAGCTGACTCTGTGGGAGGAGCTTCACGTTCAGAGCTTCAGTCAGTGGGCGGCGAGCATCGACCTCCTGCTCCTCCTCGTCTTCCTCTTCGATCAAGCCGTACCTCTTCATGTACTTCCTGGTGGCCATAGACATGTTGCTAGGCGACATCAGCGAGTCATTGGAGGAGGTGGGGGCTAGTTGGGGGGCGTGGCCTCCCAGAGACAGCCTGCTGAGCTGAGAGTCGCTGAGGTAGCGCAGAGCAATGGCGTTGGCCTCCAGACTCAAATCCACGCTGCCTTCAGGAAACAGAGAGCTGGCTGACGGCTCGGACACGCTCAGTCTGGACAGGACCGCCAACGGGTTGATGGACGCCAACGTGCTACACACACACACACACACACACACACACACACACACACACACACACACACACACACACACACACACACACACACACACACACACACACACACACACACACACACACACACACACACACACACACACACAAAGCAGCAAGTGTGAGCAATGTGTCAAACTCAACAAAGCAGACCAACTGATGCTCAGGTGAGACCAACTGATACTCAGGTGAGACCAACTGATACTCAGGTGAGACCAACTGATGCTCAGGTGAGACCAACTGATGCTCAGGTGAGACCAACTGATACTCAGGTGAGACCAACTGATACTCAGGTGAGACCAACTGATGCTCAGGTGAGACCAACTGATGCTCAGGTGAGACCGGCTGAGCCTCAGGTGAGACCGGCTGATGCTCAGGTGAGACCAACTGATGCTCAGGTGAGACCAACTGATGCTCAGGTGAGACCGGCTGAGCCTCAGGTGAGACCAACTGATGCTCAGGTGAGACCAACTGATGCTCAGGTGAGACCGGCTGATGCTCAGGTGAGACCGGCTGATGCTCAGGTGAGACCGGCTGAGCCTCAGGTGAGACCGGCTGAGCCTCAGGTGAGACCGGCTGAGCCTCAGGTGAGACCAACTGATGCTCAGGTGAGACCGGCTGAGCCTCAGGTGAGACCGGCTGAGCCTCAGGTGAGACCGGCTGAGCCTCAGGTGAGTGTGTACCTGCTGCTCTCCACAGTTTGGTGCTTTCTTCTTTCAGACTCCGTCAGATCTTGTTCGTGCAGATCCACTCCGAGCTGCTGCAGCTGCCTCAGAGTGGCGCTGACCACCGGGTCCCCTCCTCGCTGCTGCTTCCCCCGGGACGCCGAGGAGGAGGCCGAGGAGGCGGCGGAGGAGGAGGCGGAGGAGTGTGAGCGGTCAGGAGCTGCAGGGGGGCTGTTTCTCCTGGAGTCGCCGGGCTCCTGCAGACGGCTGTTGAGCTGATTCTTAAGGACCACAGAACGTGTTCATGAATCAGGATATAAATAAAGATTATGATTCAACAGGTCGTCTCTCAGGTACCTGCAGGTTGTGGTAGAAGCTCTGCTGCTCGTCTGCAGGCGTGAACATGCTGGCGCTCTCCCCCAGGACGGGACTCTGCAGCCCGCTGAAGCTGAAACAGAACATCATCATCATCACTGTAATGTTCCTTTAGAGGGGCGACCCCCCCACCCAACCTCAGCTCCAACATAAAGGAACACGATCCTTCATGAACGTCTTTCACACATTTCACTGCCCCGTTCAGACATTTCAGAAACTCATTTACAGAATGTTGGTGCGGTGTACAACTTGATTGGATTGGCAGTCCAGCCCGTAGATTTACCATGAGCCCCCCCCCCGTTGACGTCACAAACAGACAACACACTCACCTGTATGCAGCAGCCTTCTGATCCAGGACGTCAGCATCCTCAGCAGATGTGTCAGTGTGTGGGGGGGGTCTGGGTGAGGACAAGGGGCTGTTGTAGGAGGTGGGAGGAGCATGGACCTCCTGCCCAGGATCCCCCCAGAACAGACTGGCCCCTGAAAACACACAAAGAGATGATGAGTCACCTGTCACTCAGATCACTGTCTGCTCATCAGGTGAGTCTTATCACCGGCTTCCTGTCTCACCTGTTCCCACGGCGACGCTGGCGGTGCTCCGTGGCGTCTGAGTGTCGGCCTGCTGGCTGGAGGTCTGACATTTCCCCTGCGCCTCCAACAACATCTGCACCTGAGGCCGTCCACCAACACCAAACACTGTTACCATGACAACTACAAACACACTCCACTCTGGACCAATCAGAGGCCTCCTGAGATTACTCATCATCAGTTTCTGAATCTATTATTAAAAAAAACAATGTCGTCAAGTTTAATGACATTCAGAATGAGAGGTGCACTGTGGGAAACGTAGTCAGAAGGTAATTGATGAGCGTCACTTATATGTACCTCTACATCACAGCTGTGAACACGGCTACAAACCATCAGGCCGGCCTGACTGCAGATTATTTAATGTGTTCTCACCTGAGCCTGCAGGAGGCGCAGCTGTCTGTCCTGAAGGAGGAGGAGCTGGTAGGTGTCGACTGGTGTGACTCCGCCCCCCTGATCACAGCATTGATTCACACAAGGCGGACGAGGGAGCCAGGGGGCAGGAGTCACTGGGTCTGCAGGGGGGAGGCTGAAGGGACAGGGAAGAGGAGGACCAGAGGGAGGAGAGGAGGGACTCTGTGAGGGAGGAGGAGTACGGTAATGGGAGGACAGAGGAGGAGATGGATGGTTACTGGAAGGAGGAGGAGTGTGAGGAGTGTAGTGATGGGAGGATAGAGGAGGTGGTGGTGGGAGACAAGAGGGAGGAGGAGGAGTTTGATGATGGGAGGATGGAGGAGGAGGAGGAGTTTGATGATGGGAGGATGGAGGAGGAGGAGGAGTTTGATGATGGGAGGAGGGAGGAGGAGGAGGAGTTTGATGATGGGAGGAGGGAGGAGGAGTTTGATGATGGGAGGAGGGAGGAGGAGTTTGATGATGGGAGGATGGAGGAGGAGGAGGAGTTTGATGATAGGAGGAGGGAGGAGGAGTTTGATGATGGGAGGAGGGAGGAGGAGTGTTGTGGTGATGTGGAAAAGAAGCAGGTGTAGGAGATACAGAAGCAGAGTGAGGACAGGAGAGAGTAGAAAGAGTTTGATGATGGGATGATGGATGATTGGATGATGGAGGAGGGGTGTTGTGAGGATGAGGGAAAACAGAAGGTGCAGGGTGGAGTCCTGTGGAGGAGGAGAAGATGGAGGTGCAGTTGTAAGTGTGGGAGGAGCAGCAGGTGCAGGGCTGCTGCAGGTTGGAGTTGGGGGTGCTGTGGAGATGAGGAGGAGGAGCCGGTTTGGGGGCTGAGTTGATGTTTCTGGTAGGAGGAGCAGACTTCCTGTCAGTGGGGGGAGGAGGTCTGTGGGCGGAGCCAGCGTCCTGCCAGTTGTGATTGGAGGAGAAGCTGCTGTCAATCAGCAGAGAAAGTTCAGGAACAGACGGCTGAACTCTGCGAGACTGAAAGAAAAACCAACACTGATGTTTGATACAGATGTTTTATTATTGATCAGGTACAGGTGAGCTGGGACTGACCTGCTGGGCGGGGGGGTGGGGGCTCGGGGACGGGCGTGGAGACAGATCTTCATCTTCCACTCCAGAGTCCTGATCGCTGACAGACAGACCAGCAGCAGACAGGACAACGCTGAGAGGACAAAACAAACATCAGACTCTAATATGTCTTCTCTGATTGGTTCAAAACTTCTCCAGGCGTTTGTTCTTTAACATTCATTAAGTGAGCTAGCCGAGCAGCTGAGACCAGCAGTGGACTCGTTAGCTTAGCTAGCATGCTAATGGAGTTACGGGATAAACACCTTAAAACCTCCACATGATGATTTACATGAACGTTGTACTGTCCCTTTAAACAGTTACCTGTTGAAGGAGCTCTGGGCGTCTCTGAACACCTGAGTCTGTCTGCTGAGATCCAGATCACAGCTCAGAGTCCGACCCTCCACACACACGGCCTGCCACACACACACACACACACACACACACACACACACACACACACACACACACACACACACACACACACACACACACACACACACACACACACACACACACACACACACACACACACACACACACACACACACACACACACACACACACACACACACACACACACACACACACACACACACACACACACACACACACACACACACACACACACACACACACACGATTTAAGTTCAGTTTTTGCAACCACAACAGTGTTTCCATACATCTCTTATTCAGTATATATTTGAATAAATGAACAGGTGTGCTGTTACCTGGTACAGTGTGACAGATTGGGATGCAGTGAGCAGCTGGTAGTCCAGCTGTGGTCCTGGTCCTGGTCCTGGTGCTCGACACTGGAACACCTGAGGAGGTGTGTGTGTGGAGGCGAACAGAATGAGGAGGAAACAGCCGCTCTCTGAGTAAACTCTGAAACAGAAGAGAGACAGAACACTTAGAGAGACCTGGAGGTTAAAGGTCAGAGGAACCATCAGAGACAGAACACTTAGAGAGACCTGGAGGTTAAAGGTCAGAGGAACCATCAGAGACAGAACACTTAGAGAGACCTGGAGGTTAAAGGTCAGAGGAACCATCAGAGACAGAACACTTAGAGAGACCTGGAGGTTAAAGGTCAGAGGAACCATCAGAGACAGAACACTTAGAGAGACCTGGAGGTTAAAGGTCAGAGGAACCATCAGAGACAGAACACTTGGAGAGACCTGGAGGTTAAAGGTCAGAGGAACCATCAGAGACAGAACACTTGGAGAGACCTGGAGGTTAAAGGTCAGAGGAACCATCAGAGACAGAACACTTAGAGAGACCTGGAGGTTAAAGGTCAGAGGAACCATCAGAGACAGAACACTTAGAGAGACCTGGAGGTTAAAGGTCAGAGGAACCATCAGAGACAGAACACTTAGAGAGACCTGGAGGTTAAAGGTCAGAGGAACCATCAGAGACAGAACACTTAGAGAGACCTGGAGGTTAAAGGTCAGAGGAACCATCAGAGACAGAACACTTAGAGAGACCTGGAGGTTAAAGGTCAGAGGAACCATCAGAGACAGAACACTTAGAGAGACCTGGAGGTTAAAGGTCAGAGGAACCATCAGAGACAGAACACTTGGAGAGACCTGGAGGTTAAAGGTCAGAGGAACCATCAGAGACAGAACACTTGGAGAGACCTGGAGGTTAAAGGTCAGAGGAACCATCAGAGACAGAACACTTGGAGAGACCTGGAGGTTAAAGGTCAGAGGAACCATCAGAGACAGAACACTTAGAGAGACCTGGAGGTTAAAGGTCAGAGGAACCATCAGAGACAGAACACTTAGAGAGACCTGGAGGTTAAAGGTCAGAGGACTCACCTGTCCTGGAGGGCGGAGCTGAACAGGAACCTCAGACACCACGCCCACACCTGAGGGTTGTACACGTGTGTGACTCCACTCAGCCACCTGACAGGAAGTGAAGTCAGAGAGAGCAAAGTGAGGTGGAGATGGTTATGACATTATGGATAATAATCTCTCCCCCCCTCCCTCCCTCTCTGTGTGTCTCTCTCTCTCTGTCCGTCCCTCCCTTTCTCTCCCTGTGTCTCTCTCCCCCCCTCCTATCTGCCCCCCCCCCCCCCGTCATCTCTGATTGGTCCAGGAGGATGAGTGTGGTGACTCACAGTCCAACCAGCGGCAGTGTGGAGGCTTTAGGGTCAGACTCCAGCAGCAGGAGCAGCTTCCTGGTCTGGTCCATGGTCAGAAACCTGCAGAGTGACGAGGTCAAAGGTTCAATACTCTCCCGATCAGACCCGGAGTGAGGGACGCCGATGTAACGCCATCGCTGAATCAATATGAACGTTCAAAGACGTGATGACGGCGTTCTTACCCTCTCTGGCGGTTGGCGGCGTTGGGCAGAGGTCTGTTGATGCTGGTCAGACTTCGCAGCAGAGCGGTGGGTATGATGGGAATGGATCTGACCGGCTGCACGTCCACGCTGACGGACGGACAAACAGATGACCAGCTGAGACTGAACGCTGTGACATCAGACTGCTGAGAGCATGTCACATGACCACGAAGCTTCAACAGCTGACTCAGATCCAGAGAGAGTCTACTGCTCACACACTGCTGCAACACCTGAGACACACACACACACACACACACACACACACACACACACACACACACACACACACACACACACACACACACACACACACACACACACACACACACACACACACACACACACACACACACACACACACACACACACACACACACACACACACACACACACACACACACACACACACACACACACACACACACACACACACACACACACACACACACACACTTCACATTTGAATACTGTGTGTAAACCAGGGGACACTGTGATACCAATGTAACTGCTGTCTCCCCCTCCTCCTCTCTAGAGTGGATGCTCACTCAGGTCACCATGTGGTGGACTCTGAAGCTTCAGTGTTTATCCAGCTCTGCATGGGTCTGTAAACCTTTCTGTGTTCTAACCTCTCTCCATTTTTCAAAAGCATCTCCAATATTGATCCTAGTTTGAGCACGTTTCTGCTCGTGGAGCTTATTAGAAACATGCAGAGGCTTTTTAGGTCGGGTACAATCACTTCTATCTGAACCACTTCTCTTGACCGCTTCCATCGCTGCAACACCTGTTGACCTGATAACTGCTCTCATATCTGACAAACCGAGGGGCGTCCAAAACGGCCATGTGGGGGCGTGTCTTAAAAGCTTCTACCTTCTCTGGTCCAAACAAATCCAGAGCATTCAGGAGCAGAATCTAAAGTTAGAAGGAGGACATACTGGCTGCTGCATTGTTGTCAGAGAAGCCAGCACTTCAACATAGCATGTTTCCTTAATGATCAGAGAGTAAGATACCTTTATCATCTCACTCTCTACACAGCTCACTGACTGGACCTTTAATTCTTCTTCAAACCCCTCAAAGACAGAAAGAGAAACAGCTGGTTTGTCATCAGACACAGACCCTGACCTCTGAAGGTGACACACTTACCTTGAAGCAGTGATGCAGCTCAGCCTCTGATTGGATGACAGTGTCAGGTGTGGTTTCGACCTGTGACGAGAACAAACAGGGAACCACGGCGTCTCCGGGCAGCAGAGCAGAGGGAACCCTGCCTGAGGCTCCGGCCTGGTCCCGACCCAGATCAAAGCGGTCCAGAGTCACAGTGACTCCCTCCTCATCTGGACAGGAGAGGAGAACTTAATACCAATGAAGCACACACAGCCAATCAGTGTTGAGGATGAGCTGGCGGTGACCTCTGACCTGCATCGACAGACACTGATCCCAGGAAGAAGCAGTGGAGGCGGGGCTTGTTGCTTTGACGGGCGTGACGCTGAGCCAGACGCAGAGCTTTCTCCAGCAGCACCAAGCGAGGCTTCCTGCACACAAACAAACTCCTGCTTAGGAACACACACACACGCACTGCAGCTAGCTCTGTGTGTGTGTGTGTGCGTGTGTGTGTGTGCGTATGTACCTGCGAGCACAGAGCTGGAGGCGGAGCTTCTCTCCTGCAGGGCTGCCATCCCACAGAGCTGATCTGGATTTGGGGAAACTGAGCGCAGTGAGAGAGTTCATGGAGCTTCTGTTCAGCAACAAGAGGAGACAAGATGTAGAGTTAAAGATGCTAACATTTCTTCTTTCCTCAAAATCTGACCTGCCGCTTTGCATTGTGGGAAAAAGTGTGAGGGCGACTGGTCTAATGTAGACTGTAGATTTCTCCTGAATTAAAACGACATCCATGTTTTTTTTTAGCTCTCATTTGTTAGATATTTCATTTTGGACCAATCAGAACAAACTACTAGGAGAGGAGGCGGTTTAGAAAACAGCCCGAGTGTTTTTGCGTCCAGCGTGGCAGAGTCGCTTACTGGTAGCGTGGTGACGAATACCGGCATCCAACCAGTCTCTCTGTTTTATTCATATAAACTCAAAAAAAGTTTGGAAACGTTATTTTGGTCACTTATTTCGCCCCTTTTATAATACTAATTGTTGTTGAATTTTATATTGTTGGAAAGTCTGAAATGTTTTTTTAGATTTATTTTAGAGTTTTTGTGCCTTTATTGTAGAGATAGGACAGTGGATAGAGTCAGAAGTCATTTAAGGAACCTTTCTGATAGAAAAGGACAGCTGTCATTAAAAGTAACGCGTGAACACCAAGATTCCTTCAAGTGTTTGTGTCGGCGTCCGACTTTTTTTGAGGAGTTTCCTTTATTTATCCCTGAGGGAAATTCTGGTTTACACTGTTATTGAGAGACATGCTCCTCTCACACGTGTCAGAGTAGGGGGGGGGGGAGACTACGCGCAGGGAGCCCACCAGAGCGGTTGGGGGTTCGGTCCGTATCCCTCATGTTCCTACAGACTGAGCTACTGCCCCCCCCCCCCTCCAGAGAGCATCATGGTGTTCCTTTATGTTTCTATATTCTCGTACTTTTCTTATTTTCTCTCTCATGCTGTGTTTTTACACATCGTGTGTTTGTTGTCTTGCACTCGTACGTCCCTTTCCGTTAACGTTTGGATGTGTTTTGATTTATTGATCCGACAGGAAGCCGCTGAATGTTTGTCTGCACTTAGAGTCAGAGACAGATTTACTCATCAGAGGCTCAATCTATACAGAGAGACAGGACTTATTGACTGTTCATTCTGCTGATGCTTTACTTGTTTTGATAACCTGCTGCTGTTACACCACAATCTCAAGTAAAGCCATCAATCCATCCAGTCCTAATATTGATTTTTAAATCTTATTCAATTTTTCTTGTGTTGTGTTTCCTGCAGATGATGTGCAAAATGATAAATGTGACATGCGTTTTCTGTTTACATGTGTATATTCTTATTGTTTTTATTAATTCAGTTTTAGTTTTTGGAAAGCACTAAATGTGCTATAGAAATAAAGATTGAATTCCTGTGTAGAGGCAGACTCAGTCCAGGACCATGAAGTGAATCATATCTTCATTAAAGCCGTTTCATTAAATATTAACTTTATTTTGAGTCTCTTAAATCAATCCAATGACTTTAATTCATCTTTTACATTTCTCTCATTAGAAACTGTTCAGTGTGATCATTTTGTTTACATCATTATAAAGTCATAAAGTATTAAATAAGGTGAGCAGGTGTGAACCCCCCCCCGCAGCAGGTGTGACCCCCCCCGCAGCAGGTGTGAACCCCCCGCAGAAGGTGTGAACCCCCCCAGCAGCAGGTGTGAACCCCCCGCAGCAGGTGTGAACCCCCCGCAGCAGGTGTGACCCCCCCCCGCAGCAGGTGTGACCCCCCCCCGCAGCAGGTGTGACCCCCCCAGCAGCAGGTGTGAACCCCCCAGCAGCAGGTGTGAACCCCCCGCAGCAGGTGTGAACCCCCCCGCAGCAGGTGTGACCCCCCCCCGCAGCAGGTGTGACCCCCCCCAGCAGCAGGTGTGAACCCCCGCAGAAGGTGTGAACCCCCCGCAGCAGGTGTGACCCCCCCCCCCCACCCCAGCAGCAGCAGGTGTGATGACGTTGACTCACCTTCCTCTGATGTTCTCCTGTTTGAAAACGGATTCAAAGACTCCGGACGGCAGAGCCTGGAGGTTCACCGGGATGCTCATCCGTCCCCTGGCCGACACAGAGTCACCGTCAGCGGGAAGCAGAACTCTGGAAACACCGCGGCGACTCACCAACAGCTAACGTTAGCCACGTTAGCTTCCAGCTCGAACCGCATCAGCTGCCTCAGTTAGCTTAACATACCGAATAACTACAATCTCTGTGATGACGTTTAACGATGTAACGACACCACAAACTCAGTAAAACAAGTTTACTCACGATTCTCTTGATATTGTTTTCGTTAATTTGATCGAAAACAGCCCGAAGGAAACAGAAGTTGAACACTGTTTAATTATGGCGCTGTTTCTTCTCTTCTCTGGCGGGGCGACTCAAACAGCCAATAGGAAGCGCTGAAGGAGTGAGTCCGACCAATGGCGTGCCGCTTAGGTTCCTCGTTCTCTTTGTGCTGTAACCGGCAGATGAAACGAACAGAAGTCCAACACTGCCTCCTACTGGTCAGATAATGAACTACATATTATTTAAAGGAGCATACTGCAGTTTCTTTGTTGTCCAGCTTGTGAATCTTTTATGTTTAATTAATAAATATATAAATTTAATTCAGAAAACTTTATTGGCATAATATTGCCGAAGCATATAATAACAAATAATAAAACAATAATAATCTTGATTAATCAAAATATTTATTATTTTATTATTCAGTAGTAGAAATAGTATTTATCAATAATTATATTATAACAACGGTAATAATCCGATATCTAAAAAATATGTCTTAATTTTTTATTAAAAAACAAACAAATTAAAGAAAATAAATCGACTTTATTGTTTTATATTGTGTCACTGTGTGTGCATGTATGTGTATGTGTGCATTTAAATAGTTTTTGCCAACCAGAAGTTGTAAATTTAAAGTCACTGTTGTACTAAACCCCCAAAAACATCATGGTCATGTGTAAACGGTCACAATATAAACTGAACGGGGTAAAAGGTGTTTACGTTTGCCGCTCCTAGAAAATACCAATAAATGTTTACCGTACCGAACTGAACCGGACCGCTTTGTGGGAACGAGGCTAAAAAGGACCAACGATGGTCAACCACAATGCCCATGTGTGAGTGTGTGTGTGTGTGTGTGTGTGTGTGTGTGTGTGTGTGTGTGTGTGTGTTAAATTATTCATCTGTGAGCAGTTGGATCATGTTCCTACACACAAAGTAATCTCCTGAAGAGCGGCGTGTGGACAAATTATTCATCAACATGACACTCGACACTGTCCAATCACACACACACACACACACACACACACACACACACACCTGTCGAGTATTCTCATCCTTTAAGGGAGTTGAAGTGTGAATGTGTGTGAATGGATTAATAAGATGTGTAGGTGTGACCTGTGGTGTAAAAACACTTTGAGAAGTCCAAATATAAAACCTAAAGTTTAATTTGCTCCGAGTGTGAGTGATAATCTTGGTGTGTAAAGTGACTGCAGCTGTCGAGAGAGTAGAGTGTTAATCCACATCTCCTTCTCTTGGATGGAGCTGGAGCTTTCTTCTTCAGTGCAGCACATCTCTGCAGCGTGCACGCTTTGGGGTCGTCATGATACCAGACCTTTAAACTTTGAAGTGTTACCAGTAAAGATCAAACCATACTGATGGAGGAGGAGGACGACATTTGTTTTCAAAAATGTAAATTTGTCTCAAACTTTGCAAATGTGTTTCACACTTGGTACTTTTTGTTTGCACGTCCGAGCCACCGTACATTTGGACTTTTTTTTTGTTTTTTTTACACTCGTGTGGCTGGATAGATTCTATGTTAGCGCATTTATTAAATTATTAAAGTTAAAAACTGCAGCACTGGGTTTGTCTCCCCTCACATGCGGCTCCGACATGTAAACGTGCCACTGTATAGTCGGGACAACGCCCACTAACTAACCCGGGTAGAAACATTAGTCCGCTTTTTCTCCCTCAAAGACAACCAACGCTCGCTGGAATCTCGAGCCTTTTGTTGTTGTAGCTTCTTATCCAACCGGCCAATCAGAACCCCGCTCCAGTGAGGAACGCCCACATATCGCGCTGCCCGTCCAATCAGAGGGGCTCCTCGCCGGAGCAGGGTGCCATTTTGTCCGCTTCCAGCGGCGGTGGTCGGGGTGTCCTGCTGGCCGCTGGCTGGAACCTGTTGCTCCGTAGTTCCGTGTTGTGCAATGGACGGGTGAGTTATCCCATCGACTCACATCAACACTCACATTAAAGCTCATTCTGCGGCTGTTTTACCTCCTTTTCAGAGCGCTCACCCGAACATGGCGTCAGGTGAGCTGACTCCACAGGTAAAGAAGTGTTTTTAGTGTCTGCGCAGCGGGCGGGAAAGTTCTGTTTGTAGCAGGAAGCTGAGCTAGCCAGGTTAGCCGTTAGCATCAAAGAGGGCCGATCAGTGCGGGCACACCTCCACGCCAAACCCCGGTCAGAAAACGGATTTCCCGTGGCCTCGTCCACCTGAGGAGACGTGTTTATTTCACAGAAAGCTAAAGAGCAGACATACGGACCGTAAAGCTTCTAATAATCTGCTTTTAATCGCGTCAGTTCATAATGAGGAAACCTTTATAAAAGCAGTGCTCAGCCTACAACAACACGAGTCAATACTAATTCAAGATTAAAACAGAAATAACACGTTTTTAAGGCCGACAAAGAAAACCCAGTACAATAGAGCTAAACAGTGTTTTTTATTATTTATTTATTTATTGGTGTTTTTAATCGATCTGATTGGCTCTCTCCTGTTCGCTGATTGGTTGAGTTTCTCTCTCCTGTTCGCTGATTGGTTGAGTTTCTCTCTCCTGTTCGCTGATTGGTTGAGTCTCTCTCTCCTGTTCGTTGATTGGTTGTGTCTCTCTCTCCTCTGATTGGTTGTGTCTCTCTCCTGTTCGCTGATTGGTTGTGTCTCTCTCCTGTTCGCTGATTGGTTGAGTCTCTCTCTCCTGTTCGCTGATTGGTTGAGTCTCTCTCTCCTCTGATTGGTTGTGTCTCTCTCCTGTTCGTTGATTGGTTGTGTCTCTCTCTCCTCTGATTGGTTGTGTCTCTCTCTCCTGTTCGTTGATTGGTTGTGTCTCTCTCTCCTCTGATTGGTTGAGTCTCTCTCTCCTGTTCGCTGATTGGTTGTGTCTCTCTCTCCTGTTCGTTGATTGGTTGAGTCTCTCTCTCCTGTTCGCTGATTGGTTGTGTCTCTCTCTCCTGTTCGTTGATTGGTTGTGTCTCTCTCTCCTGTTCGTTGATTGGTTGAGTCTCTCTCTCCTGTTCGTTGATTGGTTGAGTCTCTCTCTCCTGTTCGTTGATTGGTTGTGTCTCTCTCTCCTGTTCGCTGATTGGTTGAGTCTCTCTCTCCTGTTCGCTGATTGGTTGAGTCTCTCTCTCCTCTGATTGGTTGTGTCTCTCTCTCCTCTGATTGGTTGAGTCTCTCTCTCCTCTGATTGGTTGAGTCTCTCTCTCCTCTGATTGGTTGAGTCTCTCTCTCCTCTGATTGGTTGTGTCTTGAGCACATTTGTCCTGTTCTCCATACTGGATGTTATTATTATCAGTCATGACGTCATAACCATCACAGGTAGACTGAGCACGAGCTACCTGTAGGAGACACGACTTCCTCTGATATCAACACAAAGAACTACACTACCCAGGGTCATGGTGTTGCTGGAGCTTGCTGTTACCATGGCGATGTTTCCCGCCACTCGGATAGTTTTGCTAGCTGTTGGTTAGCTAACATGTGCTAATAACGTTGTTATGCTGCAGTGAATGTGATTTATATATTCAACAACACAAACTACAAGGTATAACAACACCTGCATTAACAGTATAAACACTAAAACAACCACTTAAGAAGAGGTATCATTTGCAAAGGATTATGGGACGTGTAGTTTCCACACTTTAGAAGAAAGTGATGTACACAGATGTGCCCATGTACCTTTGACCTTTTCTCAGGTTTTCTAAGCGCCTTTTTTTGTGCCGCTCGAGTTGAAAATCATTCAACGTTTCAGAAAGGAGTTGTTGACGTCACCGCGCTGTTGATGTCACCGTGCTATTAACGTCACCGCCATTTTTTTCCCAAATGTAGTTTCTTTGTCCTACAGTTCGTATCTCATCCTCTTCGCTCCGTGTCTGATAGGTTAAAATTGAGCTAAAATAAAAAAAACATGCAGTAAAGAGTAACAGCTGTGTTGGTCATACAGCGGCCGTTGTCAGCAGACTGTTGTCATAGAAACACGACGGACATGTAGCACTTTTCTTTTTAGCGTACAAATGCTTCATGCAAGCACAGCCAGCGCTTTCCTAAAACCCCCCATGTGACCACGGGGCCTGAACTCTTCTTTTTATCGATGAGCAGGATTCAGTGAGCGTGTTCGCAGCTCTGCAGACAGCAGGCCCGTGTCCTGTGTGTATTTAATCAGCAGAGGATAATAAAGTCCTGTGTTGGCGTTGTAACGTGGGGCCTCATTGAGGAGCTGCAGACTGTGAGACGTCAGAGTTCCTGCTGTGAATATTTGTGCTTTGTCAGGGCTCATTCTCGCCCCGAGGGTCCTCTTCACTGTCTGTACAGTCACGTCAGCCTGACCAGCCGGTTTCTCTTTGTTTCAGCCTTTTCTCTGCAGCGTCTCACGCTCCACATCCAACAAGGCTGCAGCATGTTTCATTTCCACAGGTGACACATACGGCTACCGTGTGCTCATTTTCTTATGTTATGGGTCTGCAGTTTAGTTTCTTAGTTTATTTGAATCAGGGACAGTGTACAAAAAAAACCAGATCATTAGTCTCAGAAGAAAATAAAATGTATTTAAGTAAATGTGTAACAGGCGTGCACCAGAACAATACACTCTTTAAACACGGGTCATCACATGCTTATGGAACCTCTCTACTGCTGCACGCTATGGAGAACTTATCAGTGACAGCTTCCACCTTCGTGCGTGCGTGCGTGTCCTAGACGTGTGTTTGTCTCCAACATCAGTTCAGGGACATTTTTTTTCCCCAAAAGATCCTCCACAAACTTTACATCCAATAATTTCATCAGATCAGCTGATGAGACGAACAACGTTACATCATCTGCAAAATCTCAATCTGTGTGTGTTGTTGTGTCAGCAGGCTAATGTCAGCGCTCTTTAGTTAGCTTGTAGCTTCACATTGCATGTAAGGGCCTTTTCCAACAAGCGGTCCGGTTGGGTTCAGTTCCTGATCTTCCTTGGGGTTTCACAGTGGACCCTACCCTTACTTGGTAAGCAGAGTTTAACACAGAGTGAAAGCTGCATCAGCTATGTGATAGCGTGACATCATCACGGAGAGACACAGTGTAGCTCGCCAATAAATTCAACAAATAAGAACGACCTCCAAGGATGTCCATGGGGCGGCCACACCTCCGCCAT